ATATTTATTTGTTTACTTATTTGTGTATTTATGTGGGTGAAGCATGTATAAATATGTATCCTGTATAGATATATATATATATACACACATATTCATACATCTCGCTCTCCTCATGGCACTGTTACTGTTTGCCGAGACTATTGCCCGCTGCAGCTGCTGATCTTGGTATCGTACTATCTGCGCTTACTGCGACGGCTACCACGGCCAGCAGCACCGACACTACAGGTAGAGGTGATCCTGCATCATTGGGTCCAGTGTAACCGGGCTTCCCGGCAGTCTCCGTGGTGCATCGGTTGCGGCTGCTCCGGCCTGTAAGATCAAAGCTTGCGACTCTCCCACTTGCGGCAGGCGAGGCTTCACGACAGCTGGTCCACACTAGGCTGCACTACATCCCTGGGACGACGGAGCCCTGCACAACGACGAATACTGGACCCGACAATCCTATTGCAGGCACCGGAACAAGACGTCAAGATAGCACCATGCACTTTGAACGCCTGCGTAGTAGCTAAAGCGATACCCTAAACCCTAAACCGTAAAGCTACGTGCAGAAACACAGGCGGCTTTCACTCCTGCCCGAGCAGGAGTCCGTACAGAAGCTGGGGGCCAGTGAGCAGCAGGTACCAGTGAGCGCAAACAAGTCAACCAGGAGAAGATCAGCAAATCTGAAGTCCACATGCTGATAAAGCAGTACTAAGACTTTTCATCAGTTTGAGCATCATCTTACTGGACCTGCTTTCTGGCAAAGCTTGTCTGCCAAGACGTCAATGGAACCGGCGCTTGGAAGGGTATCATGTGTTCCCATCCTCAGGGTGGGATAGACTGATAGCTGGTATAGGAAGCCAACAAGCATCCTCGCCGACAGCTACGCTGCTGCATGCCCGACGCAAAACTTCAGAAACTCGTCATACTAAAATGATGGGCCCGAAGGTTCCACCACAAATCTCCTGACTGGCTAACGCACCCGACAGGCACAAAGAAAACATCGCCACCCCAGCGCCAACTCGAGCTACCGACAACCCGTCGGTAGCCTCAGGCTCTGAGGGACAAAGCATGGCTTTGGATAATGTAGGGGCCTTAACAATTAGAATAGGGTTTTTGGGGATTCCTTAATTATTGTAGTGATAGTAGTATATATATTTTTTTAGTTATAGTAGAATATATCCCCTAACCCTATTCTAAGTATAAGGGCCCCTATATTACTGGCCGGAGCCCTGGGCCAAGTGCTCGCAGGGCCGGGGCTGGGTCAAAGGCTCAGGCTTCAAACTCCACGATGTACTCCGGATACACATGTGCCGTCTTCAAGACGATGTACTCTCTTGGGCCTGATCGTTCTGGATGCGCAAGGACGCAATGCTTCCCCAGCTTTTGAGCTTCGCTCGTCGCCTCGGGGTGCGACTTCTCCTCGGTGTAGTGAATGTGGCCACAGACTGCTCGACAGAGTAAGACACAGTTCACGTTGCCGCTTGAAGTAGAGCTTGAGGTGCAGTAGCTGAGGCTCTTGCTCACGTCCTCTGCAAGGTACACCCCGTTGCCGAAACGACGACCATGCGCGCCGCTCTTGACCTGGAAACCTGTCTCAGCGATGGCCTCCGCTGCCTCGTGCGACGTGCCGTGCCACAAAAGCGTCTCGTTCAAACCCGGCGCCATATCCGCAGAGATGGCTTCGCCGCCGCGGAACTCTGCCAAGATCGGTGCAGTAAGCGCGTAGCTGGATTCCGGGTTGCCGTTCAGCTCATTTGGAGGTGTACACTTGATTTCACCCTTGGCCTTGAGACTCGCACCTAGGGATCTCTTCCAGTCAATGTAACGACACCAAAGGGCTGAGTCCTCGATGCGCCTTGCTCGGATCACCTTGGGTGCTGCTCGGTCGCAGCCACATGAACCATTGGCCAATCGCTGGATGAGCTCGCGGATCATTGGCTTCACCAACCAGTGCTCTCGGAAGCTCTCTCTGTACGGATTGCGGCCGACATTCCTCCAATACAGCGGCAGCTCCAGCAAGAACGGGACATCTTTTGGCGGCAGCTGAGGAGGCACGCCCTTGTGCAGGCGCTCGTAGAGGACCAAGTACTCTGGATATACCTGGTCGCGATCGTACACGACCATCTCTCGGTAAGTGTTCGCTGCTTTTGTGCGGTCGCCGATCGTACTGTCACGCTCGCCCTTCGTGTACTTGTCAATGGCAAATGGATCGCGATCCATGGTGTAGTGGAAGTTGCCCAGGCATACGCGGCATAAGAGCAAGCCCCTCACACCCTCGTAGTGGCCACGAGGCTCGGTCAAGGTGTACTCGTCGGCCTTGGTGCAGCTTTCAGAGAAGTACAAGCCCTTCCCGTACATCGTGCCCGCACCCGAACCGGCAAAATTGAGGCTGAAATCCGTTTGAGCAATCGCCAGGCCGGTTCGAACTTGCGTTCCGTGCCAAAGGTATACCTCGTTTATGCTGTCATCCACATCACACAAGACGTCGGTCAGTGCACTGGAGGCTTTCATGGCAGCACGTGTGAAAATCTCGGGGTTCGGAGGTTCACAAGACGAACGCGACGTTTTGATCTGGTCGCATCTATCGATGTAGCGAGTGAACATCGCAGAGTTTTCCACACGGATGACACGCTTGATCTGGTAGCCTGTAGGTAGGCCAGGTTCGCCACTAGGCTGCACACAGGGGCATCCACCCCTGGTCTTGTCGTGCTCGCCAGTTGGGCATAGACGATCTTGTGTCGGTATCTGCCGGTAGGTGTTGTTGACCAGCTCCTGGAATACTTCCATATGCACGTGCTGCACATACATAAGGTTGTCGAAGCCCAAGTTATCCTCGCTCTCCCGGCATCCGGTCCAGTACTTTGGAAGGCTCTTCATCGCCATCCCGTTCAGCGGCTCCACCAGCTCCCGACTGCCGGTGCGCAGCATCGCTTTGCCGATGGCCACAGCCGCCGGTCCACCTGCATCTTCCGGTTCTGTGTTCGCGCCAGCGATACAGCAGAAGACAAGGACGAAGAATCCGACGACGCTTCCCCCGATCATGAAGAGCAGGCTGTCGCCCGAGGAGGCCGAGGAGCAAACGAGACTCGCGGCGCTGTGGCCTTCTCCACCCCACGAGCCCGGCAAGTTATTGTAGTAAAGCTGACGAGTCCTCAGATTTACCAGGCAACCCTCGGGATACGAGGGATTGGGCGCCAGAGGCATGTAATAGTAACCCTGAGCCGCAAGAGCTCTTGCGACTTCATTTCGGCACTCGGATGCTGTGGGACTACTTGTGTTCGAGGGACACTTGCCAGCACCCGCTGTGTGCAGGATGAATTCCTCTGACGCTGCCGTCGGTGATAGAGCCAGGAGGGCAAATACAACGGCTGGCCTCCCCAGTGAACTGCGGCGCTGGCAGAGCGAGGGGGACGTTGATTCGCTTGGCATGAAACAGATCCAGCAGTTGGACTGCAGTCCACAAGCCTGAACTGGGCCTGAACCCTCTACGCAAAATCAAAAGCCTCAGATGGCAGCGATGCCGCGAGCAGCACTTCACCAAACGACATGAGATCAAGCTTGCTACATGCCGCCCAGGGCTTGGGGCTCAGGGTTTCTGTGGCTTTTTCCCGTCATCGGCTTGGCCACGCAGACTGGGGGAAGGCATGATCCTTGAGACTCACGTTCGGAGTTTCAGGGTCCTGGTTCTGGCTTGGGAACGAGACGCGTACGCGCCAGCCAGACGGCGACTAGCTTTTTGTGATACCTCTTGCCTTCACCACGTTGTCACTTGACATGCAGGTATCTTCCCAATAAACAGAGCTCGTGATAGCTATACTGGTCATATGGCAGCTCTAATCATACATGGCACCTAAACCCTAGTGAAGTCCCCGTTCTAATCATATATGACACTAAGCCGAAATTAGCCCCCTATTCGACACTGAACCTTACTTAAGCCCCCATGCTAATTCATAAATGCCACTAAACCCTAAACCCTTTTTACACCTGGACTACGCATATGAAAGGAACCGAGGCGCCGACTGTGCTGTGCCCTAAACCCTAAACCCTAAACCCAAAACAGCCCCTATCTTCGGCCCTGGGCTCTGCGCCTCAGGAATTGGCCGTTGAGCAACACTCGCACGGAGCTTCCATCTTCGGACGGCAGGGCCTGGATGTTTTGGTGGGCTCTACAAGGGGATTAGGGTTGAGGCGGTAGGGGGTTTAGGGGTTTAAGGTTTAGGGTTTCGACTCACGCACTCGCACGAAGCAGGCATAGCAAGGAGACGTCCCGAGCTTAGGGTTGTGGTTTAGAGCTTCGGCTCTCACACTCGGATAATGCAGGCGAGGCTTGTGGTCTCAAATCGGCAAGGTGAAACAGTCTAAAGGAAGCTGAGAGAAACACCGTGAGCAATAGTAAAACCCTGCTAAGAAGAGGAGTTCCCAGCCTCCCAAGCCCAACTTCCTACCCACACGAGAATGCTCTAGTTGAGGATGTTGGGCCAACTCCTATACATAGGGTTTAGGGCTTACGGTTTCGGGATGAAGGCTTCGGCGCTCACTCTCGGACATGCCAGGCGAGGGTCTTGCTGCTGAGTCGGTTGAGGGTGAAACTTCTGTTCGAGATTGGTTGGGTACTAAGGTTAAGGTTGCAGGGTTTAGGGCAGGAGCATAGGGTTCAAGGTTTGGGGAGATAGGGGTTTAGGCCTGCCAGGTAGAGGCTTGCTTAATTTGTTCCTCAATTGCTTCTTGGCTTTCTATTCTATTGGGTTTTGCAAGGCTTTCCTGTGTTTCGCTGCATCGTACTGGTGCGGTGCGGTTCTTTCATTGCTTGGTTAGGACTTGTGGATTCGTCCTCCCAAAGAGGCGGCCCTCTGTTGGCTTCCTTCATCAAAGGTCCCTACTAGAATACACGAGGCGATTGTGAGCATCGTTCTCGTTCGTCTTATTTCCCCGCATTCAGAAGGAACTTTGGATACAGAGTCTGAGCACCACAGCAATACGGACTGAAAAGCGGCAAAGCACCCAGTTGCGAGACCATGTCAGGCCTCCACAGTCACCTCGTTCCCCTTCGAGCAGCGCACGGAGCACATCTCTGGCCTCAGACATCGTGACTTCTTCATCCCCCAAAACCACAGCGCAGAAGACGGAGGTCCGGCTTACTCATAGTGGCCGCAATCATCGCAATAGGGTTTTCAGTGCATTACAGAATAGTTAGTTATAAGGGCACCACATGCGGACATTACTACAAGTTGTTCTGGCCAATAATATGGACCCATGAGAATGAACATGAAAATGAATCACCATAGCCCTGTACGCTACTCTACGCTCAGCGCCTTGAAAGTCTGATCCGACCCTTCCACCCCACAACTCTAGATCCCAAGTCCTAAACCCCACATCCTGACCCCTAAATTAAACCTTAATCCTAAACCTTACAGACGATAAAGCTCTCAATCCTAAACGACTTACTGTAAGTCCTAAACACCTACCTCGTAAGCCCTGAAAGCCCACCACTTTCCGAGGACGGCACGTGATACCCACACCCACCAGGACGATGTCGCAGCTTCCCTCACAGCTGCCAATGTTGATGAGCGACTCGTCCAAGGGGAAGTTGCAACCTGGGAGTTTAGTTCAGGGTGTAGGACACTACGTCCACCATCAGCATCATCACCTTCACCACCATCATCATCAAGATTCTCCAAACACGCAAGACAGCGCCAAAGATCCACACCCCTCCACCTTCCAGCTGAATGTCGTGTTATCTTGAGGGCCGGCGACCTCCCCTGATATCGGATACCCCTGCTAGCCTTTTGTGGCATCCGGCGTGCAACGTCACGCCAGGACATCCGTATCAGGATTAAACCTCCTTGCAGCCTAAACCCTAAAGCCGTTGTCCTGAATCCCAAACCCTACACCCTGAATCGAAACTAAGCCTTAACCCTCGGTTTAGGGTTTACGCTCTCACAACTCGGACATGCCAGGCGAGGGTCCATGGTCGCAGGTCGGGTAACACCGTGGGTTTAGGGTTTAGGGTTTATACCGGATTCTGGATCCGGAACCCATGGTTCCTGAGGCAGATACAGCCCTGCAGGGCGGGATCATCACACAGCTTCCTTGGGCCGCCCGGCAGACGAGGTGCGAAGTGGGAGGAAAGCAGAGGGACAACCAGATTGTGTAGCATTTACGCTCTCAGATCTCGGACAAGGCAGGCGAGGCTTCATAGGTTTGAGTCGGTGTAATTTTTAGGATTTAGGGTTTACACTCTCACATCTCGGACAAAGGGTTTCGGCGCTCACACTCGGACAATCCAGGCGAGGCTGTGGTTCGAGACAAAGGGTTTTGGGGATTAGGGATGAGCAGGCTAATGCTTGACGGTCGTAGTACTGTGGTTTTGCAATGCATGTACTACTGTGGCGGTAGTCGTCATGACGTGCGGTGCTGTTCCTTGATGCTTCCACTCGGACACATGTGGGCACGGCCCAATGTTTAAGAGATCGTTTTTGACTCCCACACAGGAAGCCCGAAGGCGAACTCGCGGGTCTCAGGGAACCCTAAGTTGCTTGAGGAAAGTACAGGCAATACAAAAGGCTCGTGGTTTGGACGTCTTCCGGGACGGGTTTAGGGTTTAGGGTTTTTTTCCCTCTCGCATTGCAGAGAACTATGCTCACGGCGAGGTTTGTTGGGTTGTACAGTGGATGCAGTGATTAAGCAACCAAAATTTCATCGGTTTAGGGTTTAGGGTTTAGGGTTTAGGGTTTAGGGTTTAGGGTTTAGGGTGATAAGCCTTGGGGCTCGGGTACAGTCATAGGGTTTAGGATAGGCATGCCGGGGTCGGAGACGAGGGCTCAGGGTGCCCCAGCCTCTTCGCAGGACAACTTGTGTAGTTCGGGCGTTGTGAATATTCAGCAGGCTTTGATAGGGACTGGATAGGCTTTTTCATCAACCTCCCTCAAAGAGCCCAAGAGCACAAGCAGCTGTGGCCAAGCGGCGTCAGGTAGGGGTATCGCAAAGTGAACTCATCATCCTTGTCACCGTCCTGCCACGGGGCCCAGCAGAGTTACGGTTTTACCTGACCCAGGTTGAGGGGTTCAACTGCTGATCAGTTTTGTTCAACTCGGGGCGGTTTTCGGGGGATCAGATTCGTGAACTTTCCAGGCTGATGAGCTTCTCCTTGGAAGCATGTTCGTGGAGCCGGTGATGATTTGCAGCCAGAGTCCTCTTGCTTGTAACTTGCTTAGTTCTATGCCTTTCTGCCAGAGAATTTAGTCTAGTCAGCAACCTCCCATTGGGCAGAAACACTCTGCACATAGCCCCGAATGCCCGAAAGAGATCTCAACTAGGCTGAAACCCTCAAGCCTGAAATTCCTGAAATAATTGATTCTGCTACGCAAACCTTGGCCAGACAGACTGAAAACTCTTAGCCCCCACACCGCAGGGCGCAAGTCCCACAAGCCCCTCAACCCAAGCCCCTACAACCCAAACCCAAACTGAAAAATCCCAAACTCCCGACATCCTAAGCTCTCGACATCTCTCGACCGGACCCCTGCACCCAAAACTCTGGATGCTCAGCCAACCCCCGAAACCGCGGTTTCCGTAAATTTTTGCAACCAAGTCGTGAAGAACCCGACAGAACCCGGAGACCCTCCGAGAACCCTTACAGAACCTTGATAGTACCCTTGGTGCCCTTATGATTATGGCCCCTCTGGCAGCAGTATGGTGCTCTCATGGTACTCTAAACTCTAAACAACCTTTGCCAAGCTCTGGAAAAGTCCCAAAGCGTCTCAGCCTCCTCCGACTGCACCGAGCACGACAGCGAGGCCAAAGAACCGGTCCTCAGAAAAACGGCTCTTGGATTTTGGGGTAGGGTTCTCGTAGTATTCTATAGGACTCTTGTCAGGTTCTGCAAGGTATTTATAAGGTAGATACATATCTTATCTGCTTGTACATAGTATTCTAATTTAGTGTATATGGTAGTGATAAGGTTTTGCAGAATTTTCCCATAATGCTCTATGCGGTTCTTATCAGCTTCTATTTTGATATACTTTTAATAACTTTTAATACATGGCTCTTGTTTGCTTCCATAACCTGTAGGAGTTCATAAGGAGTCTAACAGGGCTGTATAAGGAGTCTCTCAAGTTTCGCTAAGGTTTCTAGAACAGAGTAGAAGGACTCGGGGAGGGTCGCTCGCGCTACAAGATTCTCCAGTATCCCCTCCATAGTTTGAGGGTACCCTGCTTCGTCTTGAATATTCGTTTCTGCAGAAAGAAGCTACTCGGGCACCTGGTCTCTTGGTAGGAACCGTGGGAATGAATGTTGAATGGCTATGATCATAATTTTATCATGACAACAATCAAACCAAAAAAATATGCGACTGCTAAAAGAAGAATGGTAATTACTCGTCTCGAGAATGAGCCACAGCAGCAGAGTAGAAAGGATGTAGATGGAGCGTGGTGGCACACGTGTCCATACAACGAAATAGCTTATTTCCCTCCACAGCCCCCACCCTGACTGCCGTGGGTCCGCAGGAGCAGTTTCTTATTCAGAGCGTCGGGAAATGGTCGGAGGAGAGGGGGCCACTAAACCCAGCGCGACATTACTGACATTAAATATACACAGGAATGTAAATGGGTGTATATACATATATATATATATGTATATATATATATATATATGTGTGTGTGTGTATTTCTATATGTGTATATGATCTGTATATGTATACATGCATGTGTATGTATTGTTCTATTTGTCCCTACATACGCAGACATGTCTCTTCACGTGCTGCGGAGCCTTTTGTGCTTCTGTGCTCATGCACCTCTATCTGTTTGTGCGTGCGCACGCGTCTATAAGCTATATGTATATCCACAAACACACAAATATACAATAATAACAACAGTATGTATTTATATATATATATATACATGTGTGTGTGTGCGTGTATGTGTATATAATATATTAATGTATGTATGTGCGTACGTAGGTAGGTAGGTATGTACGTATGTATGTATGTATGTATGTATGTATGTACGTATGTATGTATGTTTCTAAGTTTAAGTAAATAACTCAATACATATACGCATATGTATATATATATATATACGGTATATATACACCAGTGTGCTAGCATGTCTGTATACACATACATCTATGAGTCTGTATGCATGTCTGCATATCATGTTCGTATATATGTATATACGCATGCATAATATTACGAAAAAACTCTTAGACACCAAATCAATCTTTGACTTTTAACCCTAAACCAGAATACCGGAGGCGCCCCAGTGTGGGGCCAGCTGAGCTGAACCGCAGGGAGGAGGAGGCGATTTCTGATGCTTTTTGGGTTTGTGGTTTAGGGTTTAACGGTTGGTTTAAGGTTTGGAGCTTTGGGTTTAGGGTTCAGGCCTTACGGGTTTGGGGTTTAGGATTCAACCTTTAGGGTGTAGGGTTTAGGATTTAACGTTTGGGGTTTAGGGTTTCAGGGTTCCGGGTTTGGGACTTCCTCCTGCTTTAGGTGTTTGTTTAGGGTTTAGGGTTTAGGGTTTAGGGTTTTCCTTTTCGGGGGCTTTGCTACAGGATTTGTAGGCATGTTAGCCTGAAGGTTTGGCAACTTGGTGTTAAGCTTTGCCTTAAGCTTTAAACTCTTAACCCCACACTGAAAAACCAACCCCTAACCCTCAACCCTGAACCCCTAAAACCCTTCACCCCAATTAACGCATTTAATGTAGGGACCTGAAAAATTACCTATGCTATGTTGGGGGGTTCCTGATTATATTTATAGTACGTAGAATGGGCCCCAAAACCCTATTCTAATTATTAAGGCCCCTACCCTAAACCCTAAAGCCCTAAACCCTAAACCCCTAAAGCCCCTAAACCCTAAGACCGGGTATCCAGGCTTAGAGGATTTCAGAATTCCAGGCGGTAAACCCTAAACCCTAAACCCTAAACCCTAAACCCTTTTTTGATTCTTTGGTGACCCTGAGGCTCCGAGGCGCTTCGGGAGGAAAGGAGTCCGTGGATTGGGGGTTTCGGCCGTCGGGTTTAGGCTTGAAGGATTTCAGGATTTAGGCTTTCAGGATTTCAGGATTTAGGCTTGAAGGATTTCAGGATTTAGGCTTTCGTGATTTTAGGGCCTAGGCTTTAAGGATTTCAGGATTTAGGCTTTAATGATTTTAGGGCCTAGGCTTTAAGGACTTTAGGGTTTAGGGTTTCGGTTCTGAGAAGCTTTAAGAACTGTTGAGCCCCTAAGCCCTAAGCCGCAATGGGTCATCGCAGCAAGCCCTAAACCCTAAACCCTAACCCCTAAATCCTAAACCCTAAACCCTAAAACCTAAACCCTAAACCCTAAACCCTAAACCCCTGAACCCATTTGCAGGTGCACTCCTCGGGAGGCTGGGGAGT